GTGTCATCATTCCAGGGTATTCTTCAGTGCCATGTTTCAAATGCATCCATTTTCTTGCTGTCAGCTTTCTTCCCCGTCTAGCTTTCTTCCCTGTCTGGCTTTCACATCCATCCATAGTGACGGGAATACAATAGTGTGGATGATCTTGGCCTTGGTCTCCTGTGAAACATCCTTAGACTTGATGATCTTTTCTAGTTCCTTCATTGCTGCCCTTTAGTCTTTTTCGAATTTTTTGACTGCAGTCTTCATTTGAATTCAGACAAGATATGTAAAAAAAAAACAACCATGGACTTGGTGTATTACATAGAAGAACAAGTCCAACTTTGTGCTTCTGGATGAGTCACTGTTCTGGGATGCCTCCTTTGAGGGCCATTCTCCAAGGTCCGATTTGCAAGTTTTCTGCCATGGATATAGTTATAGCAAGGTAAAGATGTCTCTGTGTAGCGTCTCTTTCAGGCACTGTGCCAAATGCATAATAATTGGGCTGATGTGTGGGCAGGAACCGCTTCCCCCACGCAGATTAACTGGTGCATGTGTGGTGGCAAAGGTTGAATGAATGGGGCTTCTGCTGCATCAGGAGCAAATGAATGATTTTGCCACGGCAGAGTCTGAGACATGGGACTAGTGGAGGTTGAATGGAAAGTGGCAAGACATCGGACTGAGATGCAGAGGCACCTCCTCTGTGGGGCATCCCGGATCCCCAGCAAGTGGTGAAATACCAGAATTTTAGACAAGGGATGCCCAACTACAGCCACCTGTGTTTGCCAGTCCACCAGTGCCTCGTCCTTTGCCCCACATCCAACTGCTGTGTGCTCAATGGTTTCCTGGGTTTTGCAGGTTTTTTCCCCTATTGTAAAATGTTGGAATTCCCTTCTTAAGGCTTGGTTACTGTTAGGAAGCTCTTTAGGGCTCATTCGTGGGCATCTTTATGCAGAATATGGTCCCATCGCTCCTACCATTGCTGGGAATTGTAGACCTTTTTTCTGTTTAAGTGTGCATAGGACTGTGCCTTTAAACTACAGTATGGGGGCATCTTTGGCCACCATTTTACCTTTGGACTTATATGTTCAGTCCCACCCACCACCAGAATGTGCCCCTCCCCCACTTCTCCAAAATTGTATTTGGCCTTTGGGCTGCAAGTTCAATAGCTCTGTCTTAGGCTCCTGGACTTAATAACATGACGTATGACTTTACTTCCTTCAGATGTAGTAATCCAGCTCTGAATGATGTGGAAATTAATCAGAGCATATTGATAACCAGGTTTTAAAGCAAGTTAGGAAAAGCCCGATTAACATGAATTGGAGTTAAAAGATCAAGAGCATTACATGTGTATCAGATGGGCTAATTCCATCTTAGTCTCCTCAGAGTAAGCCTATGAAGTAGGATATTCTGAGAGAGACGTGATTGCCCAAAGACATCTTGCAATTTTCATGACCAAGCAGGGATTTGAACCAGTTACTCTCTTGGCTACTATTCCGTCCAGCACGTCACATCAGCAGTCCATTTAGAACAAACAGGAGGGGCATTCTAGGCAACATTCTAGACAATATGGTTAAGGAAATATTTGCTTATTTATCATGCTTTATCATCATGTCTAATGACACATCCATGAAAAATAAGCATTGGGGAGGTTGGCTGTGGTTCCCCTTTGTGTGAAGTAAATGTAATCACAATTCTGCACATTTCTTTACTTAGAAACACACACAAGGCAAGCTCTCATTTTTACACGGATATTCAATGTATTCAATGAACTATCATTTCACTAATTCTCAACAAGAAGCTTTTTGTCTGTTTTGCATCTTTTGGAGGACAAGCTCAACCAGGACCTTCTCCTGCTGTGAAATCCAGTACTGATGTGATGTCACAGATAAGGAGACCGTGAATACACAAAACCAAACCCACCAAGTGGCACTTCATAAGCTAACATGCAGCAGAAGCTTTTGTGTGGTGCAGAGATATTCATGCCAAAGCAATTTTGTTAATCTGTAAGGAACCACAAGGTTCAACTGACTTTGCTGCAAAAACAAAAACTTTGATCAGTGTCAAGCAATTAATAATGAACTTCTCTGCCAGGGCAGATAAAAAAAGATGCAGCTGGCTGTGACGCCCCTGGCATAAAAATGTTATTAAATAAATAAATAGTCCACATAAGTAAATCTCATCATAAAGGCTACAACAGGCCTTTTTTAAACAGATCAATACACCACTGAAATGTACTGAAAAGTATTTCTAAACATTTGCCCTCATCTAGTAAGAGGGATATCTATGTGGACCAGGTTTTTGCTCAAAGAACTTCTCACAGGGCACAAAATATTTGGGGTGGGAAAGAAGAGAAGTTGCCTCTCCCACCCAAAATGGAGGCAGGATCAAGATCTAGGCACAGCCATGCAGCCAGCAGTTAAGGTCAACTCTTGTGGCTGACAGGTATGGCATCACCTTAAGGATGGCTGGGCATGTGCAGAACCTCCAGTGCAGGTAGAGCGAATCATGTATTTGGCAAGTGGATGGAGTGTTGTCCTTCTTTACTTGTCTCCATCCTGTTTCTCAGTAATTTGGGAAGGTTAACACTCTTGATGGCAAGATTCTATTGCAGCCTTCTCCAAGCTGGTAACTTGCAGGTGATAAGGACTGCAGGTTCCATCATATGTCATTGGTCATGCAGGCTGGGGCTGATAGGAATTATGGTTTGAAACATCTGGAGGGTGCTAGATACTGACAAGATCTGGAGAAAAGGCTCTCTGGACCAAAAAAAAAAAAAAAAAGGACAGCTTTTTATATATTAAGCTCTAAGCTTCTCCCTCTGTGTCTTTAAAGGATCTTGCCTACTAAGACACACCTATTTTACAGATCTACAGACAGAGGAAGACATTTATTTCAAAAAAGACATCAGGAAGAAAGATTCAAGGGGGAGGTGGCAGGAGGTAAAGCACATCTGTGCAACAAGCTAGCCATTCCCTGTACCTTTATTTTGGCAAGCTGGTGGGGCAGAAAGCCTCATAGAGATTCAGGGCTCTGAAGAAAAGTTCTAACATTCCAGCCCTAATGGACTGCCCTCTAACACTGCCTGTACCTGGAGTGCTGACCCACTGCATTTCATTTTTAGAAAAATCCTTTTTCTAACTTGGAGGGGCACTGAAACATATGGAAGGAGACAACACTCACTTGTTGAGGGTAAGTGTCAAATTAACCCTGCCGAGAATGGGTATCCAGGGAGGTGTAGCTGTGATTCTATGGTGTCAATTTCAGATCAGTTGTTTAGATCATTCAAAACTTTTCACACCTGCCAGCTGGTCTTAAATTTGCCATCCCCTTTGGCAAATAAAGTGAACTATTTTGCACTGCAATGAAAAGTATAGTCTATGGGCTTCAAGTGTAAGATACCTGAGCAGTAGACTACAAGAAATGAGATTTAAGAAAGTAATGTAGGACCTTTCAGGCAAACACCTCAGTGTCTTCTGAAATAAGTTTTTTGACAAATTCTCTCTAGATAGCTTCATAATACAACTTCCCACCTTCACCTGCATGATAACTTGGTAAACAAATATTTGTTAAATCTTGCCACAGAACCCTAACCCTAGCCAATTAGCTTCCTGGGAGAGGTGGCAACCCATTAGAGCAGAGCCCTTGCGCTGCTGTGGGCACAGATGTCGCCCCTCCCCTCCATTAAGCAAACATAAAAAACTCGGGGTGTGGGGGGATAATTTCACAAACTGACTCCAAGCTTCAGTTCCAAATAATTTGAACCATAATATGGAACAAAGTGAAAGTAGAAGCCAAAAAGGTAAAACACAAACACCAAGAAGCTGCAGATATCTGTATGCTCACCAAATATGCTTCATCCGGGCATTCATACAGTAACATGGGATTGTCAAAGGAGCTGACAAGGGAATAAGGCTGCTTCTCCATCATCTGGCTGGCAAACTCTTCAGAGATTTCTCTAGGGGTGTATCTTAGCTTGGAGGCGTCTTCGCTGTTATGTCTGAGAATGCCAGTTTGTTTTTGTTTATCTTTTGTGCTTTAGTAAAAATACTAAATAAAAATACTTTGCACCCTCAAAGGTGTGTACATTAAGTGGTAACAAGGCCAGTTCAATCCATTTCTATTCTAAGTTGTAAGATTACAAAATGAGGAAAATTCAAAGGGGGTATTTCTGCAGGGCACTGCGTACAGTTGTGAACCAATGCATACTTCCCGTTTAGGCCCTCCACGTATCCTAGTCTGCAACTCCCAGAATTCTTGACCAGTGGACGTGCTGCTGGAAGCTGAAGTCTATCTGGGAGATACCAGGCAGAGGAAAGCTGTAGTAAGGTATAGTTGTATATGGATTCATGATCAGTTGATGGCACTAATTATTTTTCTAGCTTGGTTCCAAGGAGAGATTCTAACTAGCCAGATTTAAGTGGAAGGAATGATAAATATGGCCCCAGAAGCAAAAAGATGTTCTTGCTAAGTTGACATTTGATGACAGGGATGCTGAAAGGATGAAGAAGTTTGTGGATAGAATATTAAGGCAATTAACAAATGAGAGGAAAAATTGGAATGAAGAAAAAAATCTGAAAGCTAAGTCAGGAATAGAAATGACAATGTAAAGGAAGAACAATTAATGTTTGATTTCTATGATTCTACTAAGAGTAGCAGTTCAGTTCCTCTGTATTTATAAAAAGCATCTGACTACATAGACTAGAACTTTCAAGGAAAAAAACACCTGAAAGAACTTGTGAATTGGTAACACTTTCTGTACTGGATTTCAATTATCTATAGCAGTCCTGTGGCTAGATCAATACTGAATTGACTATGAGAAAAATCACCACTGGAGAAGAGTACAAAAGCCATATTGCATAACTATCAAAAATTTAGTGGAACTAGCTAGGGCAAATAAAGGTTTTACAGGCTGAAAAAAGCAGAAAAATAGGATACGTTAGCACTGTGTACTATGATGTGGCAAATCATTCAATTTGGACAGGGATTCAACACTAAAGTTAAACATGAAAGTGCCAAGATACAAATGTAATAAAACTTTATTTTTAAGAATTACATTGTATATTCAGGTTTCACTGGTAATTTGTCTTATATTTTAACAGAAGGCAAAAAATTACTAGGTAAAAAATTACCATTTATATATGTACACCTTTTAAAAACGAGTAGAGGTGGTTTGAGTATCAAAGCTAACTCAAGTCCAGGTAGTTGAGAACATGAAGTTTCCAATTTATTAAAAACTGCCACATTCAACACTGTTAGCTTTCAATTGTCCCATTTTCCACACAGGTGATCTGATAACTTGACGCTATAGCTTTAAGCTTGATTCTTTTGCTTTCAAAGTCTTAGTTATTTGTTCCACTCTCTCTTTCAGTAAAGTGGCTTCTTCAACACTTTTGTTAACTTGAATATTCTTCAGCATGAAGTGGGTAAGGAAAAGCTTCAAACCTTCATGAAGCATTGCTAGCTTGGGGTTGTTGGCCAATCTGGAAATTGAATTTAAATAATACATTTAAATCATCAAACATTTCTGATGAATTTAAATCATCAAACATTTTATTTAGGATAACATTACAGCATCATTTGAAAATTATGATGAGTCAAATAGGAGTGCAGAAAAAGTTCTAGATAATTGTATAGTGGGGTGGTTAAACCATTAAAATCTAATGAACCCCTGGGAGGACTTACTTTCCAAAGATGTGGTTGAGGTCTTCCGGATCTGTTTTTAGGAGCAGTACAGATAACACTTGTCGTAAGAAGTGGACTTTTGGCTTGTCTAATTCACTGAATTCAATTATCTAATTAAAAAAGGCAATTAAATGTCAAGGTTTAAAGCAAGAGCTCTTAAGACACTATCAAACTTTTAAGCTACTTTTAAAATGACAGTGCTATTAGTACTAGAGAAAATACCTGTAAACTAATCCTAATGATATGTTCACAGTAATTGCAAAAACTAACCTCATCTTTCTGGTAAAGATACAAAGCTTACTCATGGCTCTAACACAAAGATACCTCTCTCAGGCGCATGCCAATTACAAAGTGGGAAAGATTTTATGAAGCATGCAATGATAAACAGTGAATAGACTACTACAGCCATCGTAATGGATATTAATGCAAAAATTCTGTCTTTTTCCTTTTGGCTATATGACAAGCCATTTACCTTGCATTGCTTGTCATACAAAGTTACACAGCAAAGAACAAAACCTATTATGCACAAACCTAGCAAGAGATGTAAAGAGAGTTGTGCTTACCTTGAAAACAGTAAGGGAAAGAGATTTAGTTTTTAACAGATGAACCAAGAGATTGATTAGGTTGGAGAAAGCTGCAGAGGATAAATGTTCCAGATCTCTGATTTTGTCCCACATACTAAATTGGAATGTCATCTAAAGGGGAAAAAACATGTTCTCAAGAACTGTAATCTTTATGAAGCTTTTACACAGTTGTTTCACCATTCTTAAGTGAGATGAAGTACATTCTGATTTGTTAAGTAATGTAAATGATGCTTTGGGGTTCTGGTTGGCAACTATTAGAAGGAAGACAGATCCTTCAGTCCCAAGTGACTTCCTACCAATCTCTACCACAGTTTACAATGGAGGTCAGCAAAGTGCAGCAGAGAGCAGTCTCTCCGTCATTCTATACGTGGAGTTGTTTTCCCTTCTTGCCTGGCCTCGCCAAAAGGAAGGAGAAAATAGACAGACAAGGCTTTGTCTTCACCCTGTTTCATCACAGTTTTGATCTCTCTCAGGTAAACAGGCAGGAGGAAAGATCAGAAGTTACTAAAGAAGTAAAAATCCACTCCATAGCTGTGCCTGATTCAGAACACTATTCCATTTCTCAGAAGGGACACAGGCAGGAACAGACCAGAGTGTACCAACAAAATAATTATTTCTCTTACTAGTATCCTTCATTTTTGTCCTCCCTCCGAGTTGCCAAAATCAGCTGTGAGGAAAAGGAGAGGTGGTATCTAGGGAAACAGCATACCACATGGACAGAGTCAGAACACAGGCTGTCAACTGCAGAGATGCATGGAATGACTCTGGAATGTTCTGTGTAAGAGCATGGGCTCTACCAGGGACCTGTACCTCCACTCTCACACCGTGCTCAGTGGTGCAACCAGTAAGGAGAAAGAAGTCCTCTGCTTACCTGGAATCGTCTTTCATATTCACAGAACTTGGCAGCCAAATGTGCATAGTAGGGATTATAGGTCTTCTCTTGTAGGCAACAATCTATGAGGACATGGACAACTTCTCTTTCCTGCTGATCTTTAAGCCTAAGTCTAACACAGCAATTGCCAGTAAGTAAAAAACATTTCCTAAACGTTTAGGCTGAATTAGCATAAAATAAAGATTCAGTACCAGTTCAAGAAACATATATCAAATACATTTTCCAGGCCAAACCAATGAATTTCTATATGATGCTTTCAAAACTGTATGGCTAGAGACCAATTATGTGCTTCTGAAAAACCAAGGTTTTGAACAGTATACTTTGCTGTGAAGTAACTACTAAGTTTCTGAAGAGTATAAAAATGGGCAGGAAGGATAATCTAAGCGCCATCCATCTTAAAGTGCTATGGCATTTCAGGGCATTGGGATGAGGGTGGCAAATCCCTTCAGCCTCCACGTTATGAAGTCAACTCTACCATTTATATGGATTCAAGATGGTGACTGAAAAGTAACTATCCTCCAAGTTTGTCTAATTCCTACTTGGGGGTGTTGGGAATTTCAACCAACCTCATTACAAAAATATAATCAGCATTAATGAGTTCTCCACTGGCTGTCTCAGCAGAAAGTCTGGCAGGACTTCTTCTTACTCACAGACTTGGACCAGACGGAGGAAGATTAAGACACACTGGCAGGGGATAGTCAACTTGTGCTGTACCTGTTCTGTCAAATAAGTCTGATTTAGCTTCCAGAGCTGTCAAACACTTGGCAGCACTAAAGCCAATTATAATGAAAAATGCTTAATATTATAATGCAGAGAGTGTCAAGCACAAAATTTGCATCCTTTCAAGACAAGACTTTCATCTATAGATTTTTAAGTCCAAGATGAATAGCCTGACTATGATGGCCTGATTTTGCTAAGATATAGATAAATGTTTAACTTCAACTTAAATGTTAAACGTGAGCCACATTTCAGTGAAGTCAATGGAACAACAATGTGCTATTTGGGACCAAGAATGCAACTGATGGCTCGACAAGATGCCATTAGCCAAGCAGGTCAAAGTAATGCAACTAATTTCTAGATCTAGGTGTTGGGAATGAAAAGAAGTTATGTCAAAACACTTCCTTGTACATTTCTTTTGCAAGTACGTTAAACAAAATACTGGGACAGATCAGTCTTCGATCACACTTGTGTGGCTGTGCCTGATAATATTCTCTTGTAGCCCTAAGACTCAACTTTCCATTACGCAGATACTGTAGTGTTTTTCCACAAGTATGTATCTTAGCACTGTTTTGCATCTAGCTTTTGCTCTTGCATGCTTATTTATGCTAAACAGGTATAAGTAGGAGGGCACTAACTGAAGCTGTTGTGGGTAGGCTGGTTGGTGGCATCAACATTTTAGAATAAATCAGGTGGGTTGACCCTGAATACCTTCTCAAGCATAGCAGCCATTTACCCTTGTCCAAACAACAAGAGTATATAGAGATAACCTTGAGCATTTTCTAGGAGTGTTTTTCTCTGTGGGCTTTCTTTGACTAGGGTTACACAGACATGGATTAATTGGTGCAGCCCTCTACCTGTTAAGTCTGCTGTTTGTGGCCTGCTGTTTGTCTTCAATAGGGTTGGAATCAGTGCAGTGAAAGGCCACAATGATGGTGGCCGGTATGCAGGGTAAGCCATATGAGAGGCTGAGGGAACTGGGAAGCGCCTTGAGAAGAGGAGGCTCAGAGGGGACCTGTTAGCAACATGCAGGTATGTGAGGGGGTGTCACTCGGAGGTAGATCGTGACCATTTTTCCCCAGCAATGGAGGGCAGGATGTGTTCCAATGGAGCAAAGCTTAAGGAAGCAAGATTCAAGGTGGATGCCAGGAAGTACTTCCTGACGGTTCGGATCCCTAGGGTATGGGGTGGGCTTCCACAGGAGGTGGTTGAAGCCCCAACAGTGAGGTGTTTAAGGACAGGCTGGACATGCGCATGGTAGGCATGTCATGAGCAGAGCTGGCTGGAGCCAGGCATCAGACTAGAAGCCCAGGAGGCCCCTACTGACTTGCTGTTTCTATGTTTCTAATATATGGGATATGACATTGTCTGTCTACATAAATTTGCTTTCCTGAAGAACCGTGTTTTTAATCTTGCTGGGTTCATATTTTAATTCTACAACTAGAATTAAGTAAACTTCCTAATTGTCAAAACATTATCAGTACAATGTACACAATTTTCTTCTGCAGCAAGAAGTTCTAGGGGCAGTGTTACAGCATTTGCTTCCTTTGAAAGAGCACTGGAATTGGTAGCATCTCCGTGAAAGATTTGTTTGAATTAATTTGCAAGTAGAGCACACAGGAAGCTAAAAGGCACTTCACCAGGCAGGAGATAAGTGAGGGACACAAGGTCTGCCATGGCAGGGAGGTTTTTAGACTTAACTTGCCCTTTTAGTTGCTATCATTAGCCTAAGGAAAGTCAGATCTCTTGTGGACAGAGTGCAAGCCACCCAGAGATCTATCAGTAGATCCTGATCTACCTTCTGCTTGCCCAATTTACATACCTAAAAGCAAAAATTACTGGAAGCAAGCAATCACTACTTTGGCAGACAGCAAGGCTGCTGGTTCTCCATCAAATCCCGACTGAGCAGTAGCAAGAGCCTTATTGATTTAAACCCAACTGAAGCCCAGTTCTCCAAATTCAGACACATTCTTTCTCTCGTGTTCTTTTTTCCTCCTCCTGCAGAGCCTGATCTCAGATCCCATTCCCTGGAGAACAGCATAGCCATTGCAGACACATTTAGGTTCTTCACTTCAATCAGGCAACATTTTAAGCGAACCATAGTGAAAGATGTATTCACTCTAATTAGATACTTAAGTTGGGAACAAAATGTCAAAAATAATTTTCCCATTCCATATAACACCTTTCTCTCCTAAAATGGGAACATTTTACTTTAGAATAAAGTAAAGTATTGTTCTTACAATATTTTCACCTATTTTTGTTCCAACATTCTCTTGCATCCAGCAAAGTGTACACTTGCCGTTATTAATATTTTGGCCATACTCTGTATGGCTTATTATTCAGGGTTATTAACTTATTCAGGGACAAATTTGTTTGCATCCATCAGTGGTTTAGTTCCTGGAGAGTACTTACTTTAAAAGTTTTTCAAATGCATCCAAAAAATCTTCACTAGTCATCAAGATACAAAATATATTTTTCCTGATGTCTGTATTCATTCTCTGCTTACGAGCAAGCTCCAGAATTTTAGAACTCACCTGAAAGGTAGGAGGGAAGGCTGAATATTTACTGTTAAAATTGTAAATATGGTTAAGTTACATAAATACACATTTTACCATTACATTTATACTCCACTTATCCCTTCTTGCAAGGAATCCAAGGTGGCTTACACGATCGTCTTTTCTCTAAAAGCTCTGTGAGGTAGGTTAGGTTGACAGCTGGCGAGTGTGGGGCTGAGTGGGCACTAGAACCCGGAAATCCAAAGACCTGGCCCAACATTCTAACCACTACACCACATGGCTGTGAACCTGCCTGCCTGCTTATGTTTTCATTGGTGAAGTTAATTCAAAGATTCGGTTTTCATGTAAGGAAGCTACACAATTGTTCAGGAAACGTGATTATATCCAGAATGGTAATTCTTAGGTTCACATTACATGTTATTTGGAAAATATTGTTGAACTGGCAACTTGGTGACAACTCTAATTTTATACATATTTGAAGAGAGTGCCCTTTGGTTACTTTTGGGAAAAGGTTTTACGTGTGATATTAATGATCAGAGGTTTTTATATTCCGTGTACCCACTATCTTTAATGTAGATGATCAGCTAGATCCCATACATAAAGAATGGTTTCAAATCTATTAATTGATGTAAGTATTTTGGCTGTCAGAAACTGAAGTAGTAATGTTACCCTCCCTTTGAAAGAATGTTCTGCAAAGCTTGGAAGGCTGCAGAGATGACTAGGGCATGTCAGTTTAAGAGATAGTAGACAAAGAATTACTTGTTTTTCTAGTATGTAACATTTTATTGTCTTTGCTCAGTATATAGCTGTGAAATAACTACTATATACAATAACTACTAGATAAAATGTGGATACTGGCAGAACTACTTTTCCTTGGTATAGTCTGATTAAGATGTGAATGTTGTAAATTTTTGATAAACTGTTTAATTGTTTTGTTTCTTCATGTTTAATAGCATACTCACTATGTGTTTTAGAATATTTCTTTTCTGTATGAATTTCATATTGTATTTTCTTATACAACATAAAAACAATAAAAATAAGCAAGACCCATTTACTCTGAAGACAAACAAGTGGCTGAGCTTCCATTTGGAGCCTGCCCCCAACCACAGGCAGTTTCCCTGATGGTATTTGCTCTGGAAAGGACAATTTGTGCTAAGCAGTACCTTCAAGAACAAAAAGTACTTGGATGTGTCTGATTATTAGCAGGAAACCTCCATGCCCCTGACTTAATTCAGACTTAAGCACTAAGACCTTTTCTTCAGATTAGAAGTCTCCAGTTTAAGCAGGTTTTGTGAACAACTTGTAATGTGTCCTTCGGCCTCAAGCATACCACTGATGATACTTCTCGACAAGATTCGTTGTGAACTACCATGAAGGCTCAAACAGGAGCCAAGCAGCTTGCAGATAATGATTTGTATTTGGAGGAGGGCAAAAGAGCTACCTTTCTCACTCCTGCCAATATTAGATCAAAGAGTGCAGGAGCCAATGACTTTTCCAAGGAAAAATCCCTAACCACTCCCCCGCACATTTATTATTATAGTTCTGCTTTATGTTGATAAGGATAAATTCTGGGGACCGTTAAAGTCATAGTGCTACAAAGGCACCAAGTCTAGATTAACAGAACTCATCAGTTACCTTTCCCATTGGTAGCGTTTGTTGACTGGTGCTGCCGGTGCTGTCAATCATTGGAGCACCACTCCAAGATGATCCAACAATCCACCAACGGCCGACCTGATCAGCATTTAGGAGCGATTCCCATGAAACACGAAGTTGAGCTTCTTTCCCAGAACTGCTACTGTGAATCTTATAGAAAAGAAGTATGCTCAGCCAGACAATTTTGAATTACTTTATGCCCCAGTCTTGCTCAGCATCATTGGATTTTATAATCTCTACCATCAAATGTAACAGGAAAAACTACATTACGGTTTACTTGAACCTAAGATGTTCCTGGAGACCTCTTCTGGAACACATGGCAAATCTAGCGGCCAATTCATCTTCTGCAAACCAAACCCTCTTTCGTTAGGGTAGTCAACCACAAAGGTCCATGATGTTAACAGCAGCGTTTACGAATACTCAGTTTTCATTTGGAATGTGTCACTCAGAAAGAAATATAGCAAGGTATGTTTTCCTTCAACTTTACCAGTGTTCTTAGTAGTTTTCGTAACTTCTCAACAGGCTCAGGATCATAACCAGGGATTTTCCTCATGTCATTATTTTTTAGAGCCAGCATCGTTTCCAACATAAAGCGAACCTTTAGGAAAAGACAACTCTGTATTATTGTTCTAGTACCTAAAATGGCAAAGATCTCCAGCATAAAGCTGAAAATTGAACTACAGCCAAAATGCTATTTTATACTGAACAGATTGTATTAAGATCTGCCAAAGAAAATTGCCATTTTGACTGATTTATGAAGAGCCATGTTTCTTCTTTAGACATATTTAAACCTCATATTTTACAGGCTTTTCAGAGAATGTGCAAGTGAACAGGTAAGATACAAATATTGTGGCATCATGTGTCTAACTTGTGCCTAAACCTTGCTTTATATGTGCCATTGTCACCACGATGAGTTAATTTCAAGAGTTCACACCATTTTGGGCCCGTGAGCACACTGGAACTTGGAAAAACTGATGTGGACCTAATTGGAAAATGGCTGCTGCAAAGAGCATGGCTGGCCATGAAATGGCTGCTTGGGGTAACAGCCAGCCAGATCTAGTAGATAAAAATGGGTTATTATGAATCTGTATGATTTTTGCATTGGGTTCCCTGTCCTCACAATGCACCATGTACTACTTTAGAACAAAAGCACTAATCTAAATTACCATTAAAATCACAGATCCCATCTGTGGACACAGAAGCAACCTATGATTTGAAGGTGCTTTGGGGACAGTGAAGTAATGTAGAACCAGGCAAACCATCTTTGTACCATGATGACATTATTTCTGCAGTTCAGGTGTGATATATCATTGGTTGGTATTTTTGTAAAAATCACATTATGTTCACCGTATCTCTGTGCCCTTCCCTCCCTTGTACTCTGTTCTCCCTAAGAACCCCATATTATTCCTCCTCTTGTATCATAATGCAAGTTATGCAAGTTTGGAAAATAAAACTCTATTAAAGCTCCTGCCAAATTTTGCTTTTGGTAAGAAAGCTTTCCCAAAGAAATGTTTTTAAAAATGCATCCATACCCTTGACTGGTCCTGGAAGTCCTTCCCTACTGCGTTTGCTTTTTTCTGGGCCTCAGTGATCAGTTCTTTCAGTGCCAGAGCATCATCTTTCCTCAAGGAAAAGCCCACATTTTTCAGCAGCAGCAGAATTAGCTCAATATCCTTTTCAGAAAAACTGCTTACAAGCCTCCTCAAGATGTCAAAGATAAGCAATGAATGAACTACATAAAAGTTATACAAATGAGCAATTAAGGTAAGCAAATTCTCACATTCTTTCCCTTCAGCCTCAGTTTTGTAGACTTCATCAAATTTCCTCACCACAGTTTCCAAAAAGTGAGCGCCAACCTGAAACAGTTCACATACAAAAATGATCAATGAGCTGCTGGCAGTTTAGTGCTTTAAGAAAGAAATCCAACAATTCATAACTGATGTTGTGGTCCTCAAACATGCTGACCAGCAAATCTGAATCTATCGTGTGCAGCACCTTGGATGCTGTGCTATCATAATATTACTAACCACTGCATTTGGCTAGTATTGCAGTTTTCAGTCAAGAGTATTTTGCAAGCGGTATTTGAATGGCTTTTAGTCTGAAACACCTCGCCTGCAAACATTAATGAGTTCAGAAAACAGAGAAGTTTTCTTTTCAAAAAATGAATGTGTTTAATATGTTTAACAGATAGGTATGAGGTGATACAAAAATCCACATCAGCATCTTTTACAAAACCAGTTTTAGATCTTTGTGGGTGGGTGGTTCTCATGTACCCAGGGCACAGGAGGGTCATTTTTATAAAAAAATAAGGGTGCTATCAGATGCAAGCTTAAGCAGGAAAAAGCCCTATACCTCCCAGGGTGTCTCAGCCATCAGAGTGGAAATGGTGGGAGCTGTAGGTCTTTTTGTGTCTAAACTTGCACAGGATTGTACCGTAAGTCATGACTTGTGTAAATTGGCCAGAGTTGCTAAACATAATATGCGGGAACAGTCAATGTTTGGATTTACAGTGACAATTGAAGGAGAATGTGCTTTTTCTCCACCAACAAGATGAAAAGATCACTGAGCTTCTAAAATCTTGCAACCCTAGATTTTATTTACAATATCATTCTGCTAAACAGCACCCAGGATGGTGCTAATCAGACAAAACAAAAGTAGTACTGTAAAGCATATTATTATTAAAGGATGGTGAAATTCCCACAATGGTAACAAAAAATGAAAGACCTACTAGGAGTGGGGACCCAGTGGTCTTCCGGATGGTCTTGGACTGCAAATCCCATCAACCCAAGCCAGGATGGCCAATAGGCAGAGATAGTGGGAACTGGAATACAATAACATCTGGATGCTATTTGTCTATTATCCAAAAGCAATAGCCTCTGGACTTGATTAGATAGGTGTGGGCAATTTCTGGCATGTCAGATGTTTTAGGCTACAGTTCCCACAGTCTTAGTCAGCATAGCCAGTGAATGGAGATTTTGCTAGCCCCAAACATCCAGAGGACCGCAGCTTGTCCACCCCGGATTAGATGAAACAGAATAAGCAAATGTACAGAGGAGAGGTCTATCAGTGGGTGTAGGGCATAATTGTCAAATGGAACCGCCATGTTCAGGAGCAGTATGACATTAAATACCAGTTACTGGCCTTAGTGTGTGGGAAGTACAAACACCAGATGCCTTTATAGTCTGCTTATGGGCTTTCAAAAGGAATCTGGTTAGAAGCAATGGGAAACACAAGATTGGAGTGGAAAGGGGGTGGACTTGTGGCCTTGCCACTGTTGTTGAACTCCAACTGCCATCAGCTCCAGCCAACTTGGCTGATGGTTAAGGAGGATGGGACCTGCTGTCCAATAATGCATGGAGAGCCACAGGTTCTGTATTCCTGCAGATAAAAGTCACCCACACTGTTGTGCTAACCAACGCTTGAGATGGAAAAGAAAGAACCGGGGGAGAAGTTACCTCAATTCCCACTCTCCGATGAAGAATGCTAACCAGAAGAACATGCTCCATCACCAGTTTAGAAGGCATTACTGATGCAGCAACGCAAGCACTGATGATACTATTTGTTAATGTTTCATTCATATCTTTCCTGCTATTTGCCATGTATAGTTCCTCCAACTGCCCACTTATAGAGGCTAAATTTGGTTCACTCAGCCTAGTGGAAAACAAATCATATAAAGTTAACATTTGGTTTCATCATTATTATTACTGAGCAATATTAAACAATATCTCCACTCTAAAATGTATATTTAGGGATGTAATATCCCTATGGTGAAGAGCATCTTTGGATATTCCCTATATTATTATAATTATATCCTGCCTCTTTTTCCTTTCAAGGAACTAAAATTATTTTTCCTTCTCCTCACTACAAGAACCCTGTGAGGTAGGCTGGGCTGAAAATCTATGACTGGCCCAAAGTCACCCTGTTAGTTCCTTGGCTGAGTGGGACTAGAACCTGGAGCTCTCAGATCCTCAGTCCTGCACTTTTAACCACTATACCATGTGGGGCCTATATTATGCCATAAGCATTTAACTATACTCTCCTTAAGAAATGAAACAGGGATTGTGCTGGTTAGTGTTAGACTAGGAACCCAGGAGATCTGGATTTTAGTGCTCACTCAGCTATTAAGTAAAGTCAATTTGAATTTGTCTGAAGACAATAAAGGTGGGATATACATGCAATAATCAAATAATCAATAATCTATCAAAAGTTTAGAATGAACAACCATATGCTGCATGCAGCAAGTGCAGAAGGTTTTAATTCCAAACTGTGAAGAACCTCCATCAATTTTAATAGCAAGGAGTCCTGTGGCACCTTAAAGACTAATTGGTTCTGGCATAAGGTTTTATGGACTACAGCCCACAGATGTATGGAGTACTATGGAGAATTTCAGGTTCATACAATACATCATCAATACAGTACTCCCAATAGTGATGGGAGAGAAGAGTTAATTGTTAATCTGGTTACCCAGTGCCAGGATGTTTATATCATTACCCTTGAATGACCATTGTTCATAGTTGATTGTCACTTTCTGATTTCACACTTTACTATTTGCTATGTATAAAACTGAAATTATCTCTAATATTTCACACATCTGATAAAACAGCCTATAGTTCACACAAGCTTATGGTAGATTTTTTATTTTTAGAGTGCCACACAATTACTTGTTTTTATTGCAATAGATTAACATGACTATCCTCTGTGAATCAATAATACTAGAAATGTTCTGAAGATAAAGTCTGTTTCTCTCAAGAATGGTGATCCAGAATATTAAAACATAAGTGACCACTTTGTTACTGAAACTACCATCTAGTACAATCTATATATCAGCTTAAGAAAAATTGACAAGCCATTCAATCTGATTGGAAAAGTCAATGAAGGAGCCACAAATCAAAATGTAGTAAGTAAATTAGAAGTTTTAATTTGTTGAAGTTCTTCCTTTGTTGAACAGTATCAATTCTGCAAGAAAATTTAGTTAACATCATGTCAGTACTACCTGTTAATTAGACCTTTCAATGTTTTCTTTAGCCTTTCCAATTCTTCCCTCTTTTGGGTATCTAGAGTCTCTTCAGATCTTTGCATCTGAGGGGGAATATATTTTGTAGCGCGCTGGCAAAGATTCTAAACAAAAACAAAGTAAATACATGTTATGAAATAATTTCATATTTGAAATCATGGTTCAATGCAGATCTTAAGTGGTTATGAATAAAAAGTACTGTTGTATGTATTTTACTATATGAGCCATGTGATCTATGTACATGGACTATTAAAATCGTATGAGCAACATATGATTATATATGATAGCTAATTAAAAAAATATGTAGCATCTAAAAGAAAAAATGATGAATACAATAAATACACATTTGTCAGGCACACTGGCTAGGGAGCTGAAATTTGTTGCTGCTGTTCACCGTAGAAGAATGTGAAGAACAGGGTCCCACATGAATCTCTATTAGGAACAGTACTTTTCTAGTTACGTAAAAATGATGCGGAATTAGGAGTAAGAGTGAGGTAATCAAGCTTGCTGCTGCCAAATTATTTAGTTATTTTAACAAAAAGGGACTGCAAGGAGCTTCAAAGGTATCTCTGAACTGGGAATATGGGGATCAAGATGACAAAAGCCATTCAGTGTGACTTGAAAATGATGCACTGTGGGTCAACCTTCCCCCAGCTTCCCACATTCATAAGATCTAGACCAAAAAAGGGAATATGGGGCAATTAACAACAAAAATGCCAACCCAGAGTGCAGCTATTGTTTAAAAAAAAAGGCAAATTCCATGTTAGGAATAATTTAAAAAGCATCAAAAAAATCAAACCACCAATGTAAAAATCTATTGTGCAACCACATTTGGAGTAGTTTATAGTTCTGGTAATGGCAGTTAAAAAAGGATGCTGCTGATTGGAAGAAGTGCAGAAAAGGGCAATCAAAATGATCAAGGAGTTGAAGCAACTTTTCTATGAGGAAAGGTTACAGTGTCTGGAACTACTTAGTTTGGAAGAAGGATGAATAAAAAACAATGCAACAGAGGTGTGTGGCATTTGTATATGGTATGGGCAAAGTGGAGACACTTTTTATCTCCTCATATAATACTAGAAACTGGGATCATCAAAGCTGTCTGGTGGTAGATCCAGGGTAGATAACACAGCATATAGTTAAAAATATGGGATTTGTGGTCTCAAGGTATCATTTTGGCACCTATTTGGGTAGCTTTAAAAGGGGACTATATTTAAAGGGGTAAAACTGTATAGGCATTGCAGTATCAGAGACAGTATGCCTGTGTACACTGGTTGTTGGGGAACAGGAAAGAAATGGTGTCACTGCACTCATATTCTTCTTGTGGTTTTGTGGCAGGCAGATGGCTGGCCACTGCATGAGCAGAACACGGGAACAGATGGATTCCTGGTTTGATCCAGCATATTGCTTATTTTCTTATTCCCCAAGACTGTTGATGCACAATATGGGCAATTAGGTTGGTGACTCCACTTTTCTGCAGTGTCTCTATCTCTGTAATGCTCTGTCATTTAAGGTCCACCAAGCCCCATCACTAAAGGACTTCAGGAAGGTCTTGTTACTGAGAATGTAGTTGTTTACTCTGTACCCCAGATTCTGGGTAGTAGCTGCAATTGTGGAGCAGGTTTTTTCATATGCTGGTATTGGTTGCTCTTTTGGCAAGTTCAATGTTATTACCACACCGGTTTTAAAACAACTTTTATTAGTGTATGGTGGCTTGTGGGGGCTCCTGGATTGGAGGCAGCCTAGAAACTGTTTAAATGGGTAAATATACGTGCAAATGTATGAAAGCCCTCAATGCTAAATCAGAACACTTGTCAGGCCATCTCATTCAGTTTTGTCTAAGCATATTGCCACCAGATCCCTAAGGCCTCAGGCTCCTAAGCCAGCCCCCTCCATCCTGGAGGCTGCTAAATATTTTGGACTACAACCTGCATTCCAAAAAATCTAGAGGAACCATGTAGGGCAAGACTGTCTCAAGAAAGCCTTAGATGCATTTGTACCGACCTCCTTCTCATCCCTGGAAAGTGTGCATTCCTTGGCTCCAGCCACCGCGCTCTGAAACCCAGGGGTTGTGTCTTCTTCCTCTTTACTTGCACTATCTCCTTCCACGCTCGAGTCTTCTGAGCTCCTCCCCTCTTCTTCCATAGCCAAATCCTCTTCCTCAAGGTCCTCTTCCATATCCACCTCTTCCTCCATAACCAAATCTTCGTCGCCGTCGCCCATCAGGTCTCCCTCATCCTCCAGGCTCGACCCCTCTTCTTCCTCAGGCCCCTTTCCTCCTCCCCCCCTTTCCTCCTCTCCTTCTTCCTCGCTGCTCTCGTACAGGGCGGAGAAACCAGTCCCCGACTCCAAAGCTCCCAACACGTATCCCAGCCCGTCCCTGGCGAAGCTTTGGGGCAGAGCCGCGTCCTCCCCCGGCCCTTCCTGCTGTCGCTGCTTCTTCCGACGCTTCCTGAGCCCCAGCTGCCTTTCCAGCCGCCGGATCTCCCGCTCCTCCGCCTCGTTGGCTGCGAGCAGGGCTTTCTTGCGCGCGAGCGCTGCGGCGGAGGGTGCCGGGCCTTCGCCTCGCGGTTTTCGGCTTTCAGCCGCGGGGAGACGCTTCCCTCGCTCCGGGGCCTGCGTCTGCGGCTTCTTAGTCTTCTTTCCGGCCGAAACTGCCAAAGCCGGCCGGGAAGGCCGAGGGGTTTTCACCTCCGCTATCGCCTCCGCCGCTTCCTTGCCGTTCAGTAGCCGTCGCCGCCGGCCCCGCTTCAGCTTCCGCTTCTCCCGTCTCAGCTCCCGGCGGTTCCTCCGGCTGCTCAGCGCCGCCTGGAGCTGCTGCGGGGCTCGAGAAAGGGCCAACAAGCCGCCACCGCCGCCTTCGGCTCCCGCCGCCGCTTCCACAAATTCTCGCACCGCCAGCCCCAGTTTCTGTAAGTTCCTCGCTTTCTGGGGCTGTTGCCGCCGCCCTCGCCTCCTCGTCTGGACCCGGCCATTCCCAGGCGCGGAGGAGGAGAGCGCCTGCTTCATAGCGACTACCTGCTCCACGCGCCTCAGGGCCCTCTCCTCACGGGCGCCGCCATTTTGAAGAGGCTTCCAAGCCGGGCAGCGCTCCAAACCCGGCCTTGCAGTTGCGGAAGAGGCGGCGGCAGCAAGCCCGCCACCTGCTGGAGAGCCGGCATTACGGTCAGCCAAGTTGCGGGTGCACCCGACCTGCTGGAGTGGTCAAGGGGCTTCTTCCTCTCAGTGAGCCCTGGGAAATGTAGTTCTTTCGTGGAAGGCTTAGTGTGGGACTGCTCAGCTTCCTTCATCAGAAAGCTCCAATTCCCAGAATTCCCGGAGAGAACTCGTGGAAGCCATGCTGTTGCCAAACTTAGTGAGCACACATTGGTCTACAAAGTTTTCTGCTGAACTTAGGGGCAGGTTTATGAAAGCATCTGGGGAAGCCACCTTTCAATGGCCCCCTCCTTCAGTGGAGCTTTTTTCCTCATTGTCGTCAGCTGCAATTGCTCCTCCTGTTTCTTACCCCTGCCAACACTTACCTCCAGGGTTGCACTGGCCAACAGAAAAGACAAGTGAAGGAGCAGGACACAGGCAAGTCCATGGGCTCAACAAGAGGGCCCCAACTGGGGGTGGAGTCCCACCAGATCTATCTTTGATATTGAGTGGGACCTGCTTCTGAATAGACATACTGAAGGATCACACTATAAGTGTTCCTGTAAATTTGTTGTATAGCCCAGGACGAGTATTGGATTTTTAAGAGTTGCCAGAATTTTCTTTTCTTGAAAGCCCAGGCTATAATGATGAATATAATTCTGCCTTTAGGGAGCGTGAGGGAGAAAGCTATCAGTGGCTACTAGCCTTGCCGGCTATGTGCTGCCTCCTTTAGCAGAGATGGCAAGTCGGTATAACCAGCTGCTGAGGAACATGGGCAGAAGTTCTTGCATTCGCAGTGCTTGAGGGATCCTGTGGGCAGCTGGTTTGCCATTGTGTGTACGGAGTGCTGGACTAGATGGACCTTTGTCCTGATCCAGCATGACTTTCCTTATGTTCTTTCTTCCCCTTACAAGGAAACCAAGTGGCTTCCCAGTTCTTCTCTTCATTTTATCTGTGCAACAACCCTGTGAAGTAGGCTAGGTTGAAAGCCAATGACTGGCCCAAAGTCACCCAGTGGGTGTTATGGCCAAATGGGGACTAGAACACAGATCCCCTGAGTGCCAGTGCAACATTCTAATCACTACGCCATGGCTTTAAACTGCTGCGTGAAAGAAAGCATTGACCGAGCTGTGGAATGTTTGCCATTCTTACTTCTACAAGCTAGGAACTGTTTCATTGGTCAAATGCCTTTCTGCCCTGCACTTACTAAAAGTTTAAGAACCCCAGGAACTACCAGGAAGGAAAGGAGAGGGAATGAATGGCAGTCCTATATTTATTGTTATATTTATAGCCTATATTTTTTCCTACAAGAAACCCAAAGAAGTTTACATAATTTCCTGTTCGTCTCCATTTTATCGCTACAGCAACCCTGTAAGCAATCCTATGTGTATCTACGCAGAAGGCCTATTTAACTTAGTGGCATTAATTCTCAGGTGAGGAGCTATAGGAGTGCAGCCTACATGACAGCCTGGTTGTAAAACTGTTCCTCTTTCAGTCAATTTTGTGGAAAGGGTGGTATTTGTAGCACAATTATTAGCATTTTTAGTGTACTGCAGTTCCCAAGATTCTTTGCAGAGAAGATTGTTTCCTGCACAGGTGCAAAACCAATCAAGAATTCAGAGAGTTCATTCTTATTATACAAGGTATGTTTGAGTCAAGATTTCCGCCAATTTCTCTTCTAGTTCAGCCTTCCCCAATCTTGTGCCTTCTGGACATGCTTGGACTACAACACCCAGAATTCCCAGCCAATGGCCCTCCTGGATGGGAATTCTGGGAGTTGCAATCCAAATGCCTCTGAAGGCCACCAGGTTGGGGAAGGCTGCTCTAGCTGATGTCCTTGTACCACTTCCTTCAACAGTAGGAGGTTCCTTTGTTCCATAGAAACAGCATGGGGTAGGTGTGGGGCATTAATGAGAAGAAGAAAGACGGAAAGCCCCTGTGCATTAGTGCAAACTGTTCATAGTGCTCTGGATCCTGTTCAATATAAGCTTGTAGTACAGCAATATTCAGTACGGTCTGTTATAGGGTTCATGCCTTTGGCAGCAAGGAATTTGCAAGGTAAAGCAGATGCAGTAATAGGAAAACTTGAACATTCTGATGTTTTATGCATCATGCAGCTGTTAAACTCAAAGAGGGAAGGAGGGAAGGAATGAGGATAGATGCTTTGCAAACATTTTGAAGCCTTGCAAAATGTTCTAGAGCACAGATCATTAGTGGCCATAATCTCAAAGCCCTTATTATTATGTTATACTTATTAAATTATTATTTAATAATAATTAACAGGGCTTTTTCTTGTTCTCATGGTAAATATTGATTCATTTAAATAGCCTTTCAATATCTAAATTCTAAGACAGTTCACAGCAAAATAATGCAATATAGTAAACAGTAAAGGCAGCATATAAAACCACTGGAACAATACTAAAGCACATCTCTTAGCTAAATGCCTGTATGAATTTCAAGAATTTTCCATGGCACCTAAAAGATAAAAAATTTGGCATACAGCAAGCGTTATTCTGCATCCTAGGATAACTGGAATCCCACTAGCTCACATTCTGTACTCTGTTTACACAGAGGTAGTCCTATAGACTTGTCCTTCCAGGTCTCATAAACTGCCTGGTCTAAAACCCCCGAAATTTCAGCCACCTGCCTTTTACAGATTTTTCTCTGTTATTAACCAAAACATGCCTGGGGCCCAATCTCCATAAGAATAATTGTATCAGGTACTTTTGTGCCCTGAACAAAAGAAGGTTCAGTACAGGTCATCTTGGGTTTTTTTCTTCAACTGTCTAGTTCAAGGGTTGGCAACCCGCGGCCCCACGTGGCTCTTGAATCCCCCTGCTTTGCTCTGGCTGGTTAAGTAAATCCCTGTTCCCTGCTATTGTGCAGGGAAAGAGTGGAACAAGCTTCCTGCAGGCTCTCATGTTTCTCAAACTCTGCTGAAAAGATTCTCTCTGAATCTCCTTCCTCTGAAGGATAAAAGCTGGCTTGGGACCTGTCACAATTCACATCACTTGACTGTTTATCTGCTAATCGGTCACTAAACACACCTATATCTGTGACTGCCCGCCCTGCCCCCCAGGCCAATCATGGATAAATCAAAGAAAAGTTTCTGAATGATACGTGGCTTTTGCTTTTACTGCTGACGGAACATGGGGTTTGCTGTTTAATGCATGCAGCCCTTTAGCACTGGCTTTTACTCTTCAGGAAGCTGTTCTCCTATTCAAAATATATGAAAAGAGTCCTACTAGTTTATAATGTTAGATTAAAAATAAGTTTTTAGTGACTCAACAAGAGCTGCAGCTAAATCATAATGAAGATATACATAGCATTAAGGTAAAAAATGATATATGCAGCATTATCTTCATTTTAGATGTCAAAAGGGTTTTGTGGCTCCTGGTGTTTTCTTTTGTGTGGGAAATGGGTCCAAATGGCTCTTTGAGTCTTAAAGTTTGCCGACCCCTGGTCTAGTTTCTTCCCAGAGTGGTGTGGTTAAGAGCATGGGTCTGGAATTCAGGTGATTTGGGTTCTAGTCCCTGCTCAGCCATGGAGCCACCTGGATGACTTTGGGCCAGTCACAGGCTCTCAGCCCAACCTACCTCACAGGGTTGTTGTTGTGGGGATAAGGTTGCAAGCAGCAGGAAGAGAATGATGTAGGCTGCTCTGAATTCCTTAAAAAAAGGTGGGATATAAATCTTAGGTGGCATAATATGAAACAAAATATCATAAAAGCTGTAAGTGCCTCCCCTAAATCTTGGTTGCTTGCAGTGAGAGTTTTAAGCTTAAATAGGCCAGTATTTTGCCCCCAGCCCTTTTGCCTTCAGCCCTGCCAAGCCACCAGAACGTATCCAAAAACAGTTCCGAAATAGAATTGAGTCCTTGGGCTGAAAGACCCGTCCTAGAAGTGGTACATAATTGAGCATGTGTTGAGAAGTATATTATAAGCATCCGCCATTTCCTGCAGGAATAATAGAATTGATGAAAACACAGCCAAGCAAAAGAAGCCAGTGCATAAGATGGGCAGGAGTAGCAGCCAGTATTCCTCCACTTCCATGCTCTGTTGGTGCCCTCAAATGTAAGAGCTAAGGTGAAAAGGAAGCTATGTCTGGCCAGCCTTCATTCAAACTGCTGATAATTGCCAAGAAGAAACTCGCTGCCAGCTTCATCTTATTTGTATCCGCTGCAGTGCCCGGCGTACGCAGTGTCCCTGGGCGCCTGTCCCATGGCTGTCATTTCTTCTTCTAAGTACTGAACGTTTGTATTCCGCTCTGGCTCGAAAACTTTAATAACTCATTAATTTTCAGAAGATGGTTTGTTACCTTCTATGCATTTCTCCTTTTTCAGTCATTACATCATGTATATTAGTGGCATGAGCATCAGAACTATGGCTTTCCAGTTCCAAGACAAAGTCCTTTATACCTAATGAATATTTCTCCTTCATTGGCAGACAAGTTCCTGCTGATCTGTCAAACCATTTAGAGGGTATATATTCCTAATTTTTTTTCTGGAAGCTTCCAAGGTTAAACTGTGGTTTACTCATGCACAGAAAAAGTCCTATGAACACTGCATGTTCCTGGTATTTTACTGAGATTCTTCCATTACTAACACTGGCCGACTGGGGGATTTTGGCCGCTCTGCTTCCTGCAAGGTCAAGTTGGGTTTTATCAAGGTTTTTGCAAGCAGCTTTTTGGAAAGGTGGGGAGAGGTCTTATAAGAGGAATTATAAGACCAGCATCTACAAGTGGACAAGGTAGTAGGAAATCCTAGATTTCAAATTTAGAAAGCAAGAAGCAAACAATGAAATGAAGCCATGATGGAAGAAACCTGAGGGTGCTTCAGGACAAGGCTTGAATTGTGCAATTGCTTTGTCTCATTCACAGACTTTTATGAGCTGGATGAGTCCAGATTATATCTTCACTAATAGCCCTC